TAAAAGCAAATTCAGTCTGCTTCAGCAATGGCCAAGACGCGATCTATGATCTTCATTGATTGGTGTTTGTGGACGTGGCCCATCGTGGCCATCGTCAAGTCTACTGTGTAACGTGACCCTAGAAGCCCTTAATACCTTACTAGTTTTTCCAGGTCCAGAGCAAGTCAGTTTATTTGGTGATTTAGAACAGCACATTCGGCCAGGCACTGCCTAACGCACCAGAAAACGGGACCGTGTGAAGGCGGCAATTGACTGGTCTCGGATGTTCAGCCAATCTTCAAACGCGTATCATGTGTTCAGGGTGCTCATGTCTTCCTATTGTCCTATCGGTCAGATGACCATGACGACCTAAACCTCTTGGAGCCAGTTCGCACGTCTTTTGGGTCAGAAATTAGAGTTTCCAGTTCCTGCCTTGGAGTCATCCATGCGCTGTACACCCCCTAATTTAAGTGGATACGCTTATTATGAGAATGCAGTGAGAAGGACTTCCCAAATAGATGCTTTAGAACAGACGCTATATGCGCATCTCTTAGGGGCGAGAATGAGGTCTTGTCAATTCTCAAAGGGACTGGCTTTTTAAATGTCTTCTAGAACTAAGTGAGGACTCATCATGAGTAAAAGCTTGATGCCAGATGGCAGCAAGGTTATCTCACAGAGGCTTGCGTGCAACTGGATGATGACAGGGTGGTTGGGTTGTAGTAGTCAGAAATTTTTCAGCATACAAAATAGGATTCAGGTTGGTTTTCCCCCGGTGAACCCAACCATTTGATCTTTCATCAAGAGATTACAATTTTGCATTTTTTAGTTGGAAATCAAAACACCAGAAAAAATAAGTAGACAAGACTGAGTGACAGAAACATTACAGTGAATAATGAATGATCGGGATTGCGGATTTCTAGGCATAAAATTGGAATGGTTTTTCGGCGTACAGTAATTGATTCATCGGCACACACTTGATATTTTGAATGTAAATGGTTGACTACAACATACGTTCGCATATGAAACCTTTCGTGTTGTATTTTATCGATTGATGATGCGTAGGTGCTTATTTCCGAAACCTTTCTCTAACCAATGAAGCTCAATCGATAAATATGAACTCTAGGAACCCGAGCGGGATGTTAGTAAACTAACCCGTCCGGATGGTAATCCATTCCTCATCTTGAAAATTCTTATTCTGCGCGATCTTTCTTATCCTTCCCCTAGTCATAAATCTTTTCCTGGAAAAGTGATTTAGTTTTTCCTATCCCCAAGCCTGGCAACATTTCCAACCGTACAAACTATTCTTCCACCACCCTCATTTCTGAAGTTTCGAACGTTTTTGAAACCGTCATCCCCCACCAGTTGCATGTATTCCTTGAACGGAAAGGTTCGCCGAAT